TAATTTTATTGAATGTTTTGCTAAACTTAATTACGGTTATTAAGTTTTAAATGAATTTAAAATGTTAGAAAAACTATTTCTTGATATCTTAATTGTTAATTTCGTTTTAAATAGTGTGCTGATCACTGTCAGCCTCGCAACAGTGAATCGCTGCGCTTTGCAATCTTAACTGAAGTTGGTCTATTTCAGTTTGTTCGCGGTTGAATTTTTTTTATCGATATCGACTCGGCTACAAGCACATCCGAAAAAGATGCTAAATATGCAAATGCATTAAATAAATTTACTAATAAAAAGTAGGAAAATCTTTTTAAAAATGTGTAAATATAACAATGGGTATTGTAAAATTTAATGAATGTTCATGGGAACTGAATAGGATCGGACTAAAGCGCACTGAAAATGTGCGCGGGTGCGTTCGAGAGCCTGTATTTTATGACCACCGTTAAGTCTTGCTTATGAAAATAAACTTAGTTTAAACCATGGAATTATACAACTATATAATTCAATGGTTTAAACTAAAGGCGACGAGGTTAGTAGTTTTGACAGTAGTAGTAGTGAGGGAACCACTGCTACGACGAATAAGCGTCGCTCACGGTGGTCATAAAATCGAGCAATGATACTCTGACGCATTTTATAGTACGAAATGTCGAAGAACAAGATTCAGATATGAGATAATCGGTTCTTGTGTATTTGTGCAAAGTTCGATAGACAGGAAATGAGAAATTTGGAAAGAAAATTGTGCAAAAAAAGCTTACTTACTGGCTGGGAATGATATCTAGAAATAAAGAAAGAAAGGCTTTAATAGAGCAGTAGTGTACAGCACAGTACTGTAGCTTTCAACACAACAACAAATCTCAACACAAGCATCAAGATAGAGAGATTTAAGTATTAAAAACTACGTCAAACTTATTGTCGAAGGCTGGAATACAAACAAACATAAAACAGACATGAGAACTGTCAGATTGAAAAACTATGAACATATAATAGATTTGGTGTTAAAATACAGAGCAATCCCAAATGCAAAAATAGGACCAGGTTATCGCCTTGCGTGGCACAACATTATGAAGGAGATAAAAATAAACCAAAAACGGGTAAAACCAACAAATATTAGACAAGACAATTAATAAAATACCGACGTGGCGAAGGAAAAATTGGAAAAGATAAGAAAAAGAAATAAAAATTTACAACCAGGATCAAGAGTCAATAAGCTAAAACCTTTTCTAAGAAAAATTTTTAATTTGTATAACTAAGAAAAGTGTTATAAAAACATGGATGAAACCAAAAATGCGGTTTCTCAACCTGAAGAAAGATGGAATCATATTGGGAAAAAAATGTCAATGCTGAAGAGAATGACAAAAATTAGATGAAATATAAAAATAGTCCCAACAAAAAAATGCGAGACGTGGAAAAATGAAAATGCAAAAAATGAAAAGAAAAACGAACAAAATTTATTAAAGACAACGGCTAAAAAGTCCTGACAGAAAACCATAGATGTCTCGACGAGTTATCTATGCAGAAAACAGATTAAGGATAAGTGGACAGAATATACCAAGAATTTATTTACAGACAAATATAAATATGAAAATAAAACGTTTGATGCTTAGTGAAACAGTCAACAAAGAAGAAACTAAAATGACCATGGTATAAAAAGGGATTCTAATTTAACCTAAATGAGCAGAAAAACCAGATGTGCTACCGCAAGAAATTTGAATAGCCCATCAGATAATTTGGAACATCGGAAAATGAACAGACGTATACTGCTAACTAATCGATCATGGTTGCGATGCCAAAAGAAGCAGGGTGTCGGATACAAATTTTTCCGACTCCAACTTTGATTAAAAACTTCCCGATTCCGAGTAGGTCGTGTTTGGAAATTGTCGAAGATTAATCAAATCCGTACTAGTGACAAAAAATACCAAAAGAAAAAGGTTGGGAGATCTGACAAGAAATGAATGGATGATATTATAGAACGGTCTAAGATGAAAATTTTGAATTCAAAAAAGAATATGGACAAAAAAGAATGTTGTAAGTCTATAAAAAAGGTAAACGCCAGTGACCTCAACAGTTCCTCGAGAGATTAAGGAAAATAAGTGATCGAATATTGCGGAACAAAAAGTAATTTCTTCAACTTATTTCATAGCTAGCGTTTTTGTTTCACTAATTAGTGATTTGAGTTCATATTCCGCGACCAGATGCGTTGACCATACTGAAAGACAGTAAAGGCGATCAAAACGAAAAACATTCTCAAATGATCGTGGATGGAAAATTTAGTTATTGAACCCACGAAGCTGATGTCAAACCGATAAAAAAAACATTCAAATTTTTAGATTCTTCGTCTTCAGCTAATATAGTTTTCGCGTTGCATTTCATCTCATGTTATTTTCAACTAATTTGTATAAATACATCGCATCTCAGGACGGGTCATTGCAATTTAATAAATTTCATATCTTTCTAACGTGTTTGTGTACTCAGGGCACCTAAGAAACAGCTGCAAGTATGGCACACGCAAATGTTTATACCATCATTATTGTCGTCGTCAACAATACCAAAATAACTAACAACAAACTAAACGCTTTTTTTGATAACAATTTAACAAAATGCACTTCAAAAATATAATTTCATATAATTGAATGCAAAAAAGCTAGGAATAAAAACGCAAAAACCCAAAATTACTAATGAAATTATTATTCATTGAAATTGGTTTAAAGGGGATTATAGCGCTGATTCTCTCACCATTTTCTGTAGAAAAATAATTAAAACTGTAATTAATCATAAGTCACTTTCAATTTATGTAAGAATTCAGATTTGGATAAATTTTAAACTTATTTAACTACTCAAATAGAAACTATGAATTGCACCATTGAGACTGTTAATCAAAGTTCTTTACGTAGGGCAAAATTTGGAAAAAAATTGGAATAAACCATGACCAGGGTGTCGGGTCCGATGAAAAATATCCAAATATCCGACTCCGGGTACAAATCTTCAACTCTGGGTAAAAATATCTTTCAACTTTTGCATCAATATTTTACTTAAATATCACTACTGGATGAAAAATACTTTAAAAATCACTTGAAATTAGAGATGCACCGAATAATGAATTTGGCCGAAAGCCAAATGGTTGATCCACTATTCGGTCGATGCCGCAGGCCGAACATCAAAAAGTCCGGTATTTTGAAAGAAAAAAGTATTTTTATATAGAAAAACAAGTTATTGAAAAAAAACAGTAGGTGATTCATTTTTATCCAACAATTCTTCATTGAGATAATATTCAATCTCTTATTCAAATTCAGATGTTTTGATAAAAATAAATTTTCCGCTAATAAATCAACAATTATTTTTCTGGAATCTGAAAAAGTACTTGAAATCTGTCAATGTAATTGTTTTTATCAATAAAATTACTTTATACTTATGTTAAAAAACACTTAAAAAAATCAAAACACTTGAAAAAATCACGCGTTTTATACACATTTATGTTTTATTTTCAGTATTAAAGATAATTGCCTATCTTCATCTTCTGAAAAACACGATCTTAAGAAAATATTTTAAGAATAAAAAAGTTTTTAAATTCGTATAACTTTCCAGAGTCGGATGAAAATTTTCACTTAGGAAAAGCTAGCAAACGTTCAGTTTTAAGCTATTTTCAAAAAATAAAAAGTATAGCAAATTAAACGTTATTATGGAATAATAAATCATTTCAAGTTTATGATATTTAGTAATAATTATAAATTGGTTATGTCAGGGTAAGGGAACGTTTGCTGACTTTAGACAAGTAAATTTTCCGATTCCGGACCTTGGAAAATTCCGACTGCGGCAAAAATCTCTGACCGACCGCGACACTCTCATAACTATTTAAAGGACGATAAGAAATATAAAAGAAATGAATAATGACGCGGAAATGCAATTGGTTGTAAAACCCAAAAGAAATGTTTATCACCGGAAATTAATTTTGAGAAATAGCGAAGTAGCATTGAAAGCATTTATTCATATATTTTTTTCGTTACCATTTTATACTATTGCCTTGCATGCTGTAATAGTTTCTGCGTCTGTCAGATCCTGATTTTTTAAAGAATAATAATAAAAAAGTAAATTCTGAACAACTTTTTATGCAATAAGGCTTCCAGAAGAAAGCAGCTTGCAAAATTTGTGGAAATAGAGAATATCCAAGTGATAAATCTGAGCATATTTTATCATCTTATATCAGATGATAGTAAAGTAATAGGAGGTTACTTTGCTTGGTGTATATAGAATACAATTATGAATTCTTTAAATAAACAGGCCTAGCGTACAACTTTGGAAAACAGAAAATGTTAAATAAAGAAAACAGAATCTGATGCATAGGAAATGATATTTAGTTTTGTTATCATTGTCGAATAAAACCAGAATCATATTTGCAACAAAAATTTTGAAAAATTAAGTTAGCTGCAAAAATGTTGAACAACTGGCACCGCTTTGTGTGTTAAAATTGATCATTTCAAAATTAGAAAAACTGGCGTAGAAGAAAAATTGTTAAAGCAAATTGAACATTCAACATGGACGATGCAGTCAATGATTAACGGATTTGATTCCGTGGCGTACAAGAGGGATGCAGGCGAAAATAGGTATGAAAGTTTTATTCACTTTAAAAAGTTCAATATTACTTTGTTTTAAAAGTCCATTTATTACAATGTTTATAATTGGTTCTACAAGGTTCTATGGTATTTTTAAAACTAAAAAAAAGGATTATATGTGTTACACAATTCCTAGGAAGAGATTTTAAAACGGTGGAGCATGGAGCTCGAAGGTTGAGTGACAGTGCTCTGCAGCTTATCATACTTATACGTTGTTTGTACTGACGACCTTTCAAAAACATAATGTGCTGTTTGTAGACAATACATCTGTATCGCATTTGCAAACAATGCATCACAAGTCTAATTCCAAATGCCAATGGAATATTTGGATGTAATTTATTGCGCTAAAACAACTTAAATTAAAACAAATACTTCGTATTTTTACTAAATCATAGTTTATGTTGCAATTACCTCAGAATTTTGTAACAACTTTGGCCAGTTGAGAGACAAAATTTTAGGAATGAGATTAAGAATAATATTTTTGAATGATTGGGAATTTTTCTTCATTTGTTTCATAACTTTGTCAACATCAACCTGAAAAAAGAGCAACCTGATTATTTAAGAAACAAAAACAATAAACAACAAGAAGCTGGCTTGAATAAGACAAATCAGCATTTTATATCAGACTCACATAGAAAAACGTAAACGCCATTATCAGCAGATTTTTAACTGAATAAAATAACATCACAAATGTCAAAACCAAACTATAAAGCATCACAATGCAAAACATCGAACTGCTATAATAATGAAAATGTATATTACGTGATCAGATTCTTGCCAGGAGTCCATGTCCGTGACAAGTGCAAGTGCTGTGTATGGTAAAGCCAGTTCTGCTGCCAACGACACCTTCAAGCGTGATGAATTTGCTTAGTGGTACCAAACAAATTAATAAAACAAAGTTTCAAATCATACATCTTCAAAAATGTTAACAAAACTAAGGGCGAGTTGCTAAATGCAACTTGTCAGACAACTGTGTAAACATACAACATAATAGAAAATATAAAAGGTGCGAACACAAGCTCATATGCCCCCACAAAACCAACTCATGCCATAGTCTAAAGATAAACCGGAAAAGTAGATAAGAAAATTAATAAAATTATGTTAAAGATATATAAAAAATATAAAATAATGTAAATGAATTAAAACCTTGTTAATCTAAAACAAATAAATCAGCCCTAAATATTAAATTTACGACAAATTTCTTAAACTAAAATCAATCCAATCAGTTTTTAAAAGATTGACATCAATCGCGTTCAGCCACATATTCAAATCCATTCCATGTATCTGAATATTTATGTTGAATTTTTGCGTTGATATCTTGTATTGATGTCTCCTTGTCCTTTCGTTCTCTGCTTAAACCAAAGTAGAGTAATGTGATGATCTAACTGGAATTCTTGTCAGTTTGTACACCATGATAAGATCACCGCTTTGAACGTACATGTGCTGCTAATAAGAAATCGTTTTAAGCACTCTTCATAACCTAAACAACGACATTCCCTCATCATTTTAGTTGCTCTCTTTTGCACTTCTTTAAAGTCATCCATCATCATCATTGAACATGAAGATCAAACACCAGTTGCACACTCAATCTTTGACCCCTAATGGCTTTATGTAATAACTAAAACGGTTTAGACCGCAAACGATTAAGAAAATAAGGGTGAGAAACTAGACCTAAATAACTACTTTATATAAATACTTTGTCAACATTGCATCAAAATTATCAAAATCTATTTGATATACCAATACACGAAAAAATCTCAACGGTTTTCTCTCCAGGTTATTTATCTGCCCGTATGTAACCTCATCTGAAATCATTTCAACAATAAAATCTTTGGCATCAAAAACATCATGTGGTTTGGATAACATTCTATTTAAAGTATTGACATTAACTATTCCTTCAACAGCTGCTATTTTAGAGTATCCTTTCAATTTATTATTGAATGCATGACGAGATTGGTCATTGGATGCCAAATAACTCATTAAAGTTGAACCAATGGAAGACGCAGTTACATCCAGTTGCAGCAGTTGATAAGGATGAACATTAATCAATCAATCAATCTTCGTTTTGCGTCCAGAGACCCAGTTTCCCGAGGTAAGACGTTGTTTTCTTTGCCACCAACTTTTTGCGCTAAATTAGACGATCAGTTGTATCCATTTCATTTAAATTTAGAGCTTTCATGTCTTGCTCGATTGTTTGCGACCAGGACTTCTTTGGACGGCCTTTGGGACGTGTGCCAAGTATTTCAACATCTGCAAGAGAAGTTATGGCACTGTTTCCACTTCGTTTGATATGACCAAACCCCCGCAGACGAGGTTGCCGGCATTCGTCCTTTATATCATCTAAACCAGCACGACGCAGGATTTCGGTAGATTTGATGTGGTCCTTCAGACTAATTCGTTGCATCCATCGGAGCATTTTCATGTCGGTTCGTTGAAGTTGTTGTTCCAGTTTGGTTGTCATTGGCCATGTTTCTGCACCATATTACAACACCGGACGTATCACAGATTTATAAAGTCTTGATCGTAGTGGTAGTAGGATGTCACGCTGCATCAATATAGAAGCAAGGAGATGCCATTTATTCCAGGCTGCACGTATGCGTGCTCGAACGGCAGCTTCAGCTGTTCCAGTACAATCCAGAGCAGCTCATAGATATTGAAACGATGTGACTTTCTCTACCTTAACGGCTTCAAAAACAGTGCTATTTCGAATTATTTATCCTTATATGTCCTAAAACGGTTTAGACCGCAAACGATTAAGAAAATAAGGGTGAGAAACTAGACCTAAATAACTACTTTATATAAATACTTTGTCAACATTGCATCAAAATTGTTAAAATCTTTTTGATATACCAATACCCGAATATATCAATATATCCTTCAGTACAACAGCCTCCAATATTGGGGTTCTTCTTGATAGCAAACTGTCCATAAAGGACCACATCAAAATGATATCTGTCCCTTGTATTACGCACATAAGAAATTTATATGGAGTTAGATATTTGTTAGACAGACCAACAATGGAGGGTTTAGTCCATGCTTTCATATCAACACGGCTGGATTACTGTAATGCCCATAAGGTCAATTGCGATTCTTCAGTCAGTTCAAAGTAGAGCTGCGAAACTTGTAGCCGGTAAATTAAAATTTGAACGTGTGATGCCCATTTTGCATGAAATGCACTGCTGAAGGTTGAGAAAAGAATTATTTTCAAGATCACGGTAATCGTATAAATGGGTTGTCACCAAGATATACTTCAGACAAATTTTCTAAAAAAGAGCCTGCTCCAAATTTGCGTCTACGGTCGGATAATATGAAATTGCTGGTGGTTCTGGTAAGACGATTGCGGTTTGCATCGAGAGATATTGCTGTTGCTGGTCCACCATCTGCAGCAGCCTACCAGCATCAACGAGAAGACCTGGAATTTGTTTTTCTTAGTTCAAAAAATAATTGTAAACCTTTTTATTTTACGTTTAAATATGTCTATGCTTGTATATATTTAGTTTATGTACAGTAACAATTTTGTTTTTTGTATTGCTATGGTGATATTGTGCATGCTTATTTATTCTTTTGTGACAATTACGCACAATAATAATTTTGTTAAATATAAATTTTTAATATATATATTTAATATATATATATATATATATATATATATATAAATTTTATTCGTCCACTGTTAGAGTTTGCAGTATCATATCATATATATATATATATATATATATATATATATATATATATATATCACCCTTTTCTGTCATACACTCTTTGATGCACCCCAGCATTGAAACAGATATAAAGCAATATAAAACATAGTTTGCACTGTTTGTTTAAGCAACATGCCCTGTTATTTTTATGACCAAAAACTTTTTTATATTTTCAAAATAGTTTAATATATACATAATTGCAAATGTTCATAATTTTTCATATCATTCTTGATGTCATTATTCTCAATAAACCCAAATAAATTGCAATCGTTTCATTTGGCATTGAAATATTCTTAAACTATTATATTTAGCAAAAAAATGGTTGCAGAGAAGTAATAAAATGAAGTGGCAAAACCAGAACACTAAATGTGCATATATTCGTGAAGTTTTGGTTCTAGTTTAAATGCTTATATTGAAAATGTGAAAAGGCTCAAAAATAATTTTTGTAGATGTAAAACAGAATAAGATACAACACACGCAGTCTGTAGTTTACCCATATCTCATCTAGACTGAATGACATAAAGCTTAACTATCTATTAGTAAAAAAATATTTGAATTGAGTTGACTGTCAACCACATTCACAATTTTAGATTTCTATAATTTATAAGTTTTACTCTAAATTTTTGGATCTTTGATTTTTTAAATTGTGAAATTAATGGTGCAGTTATATAATAACAGTACATTCAGAATGTGCCCAATGTTTGCACACATGGGTAAATAAATAATAACCTGTATCAATCAATTATCTTTATAACAAATCATTTCACTTTGTAATTATTATACAAAATCAAACATGTTATAAAATGCAGAGAATGGCATTTGAAATAATAATCAGCTATGAAAAAAAGCCAAAACCAAAACATAAGAAATGCGTTTCGTTTTTAGCTCCCGTTTATAGTGAATCTCTTTATTTAATGTGGTGAAATACGGACAGCATTTAAACAAACCTCAGGAAAGGTTGTCATGCCAACAACAGAAGCTCCATACGACTGCCATACTTTACTCTCTGCTCTGGAGGAGAACCGCGGGCCTTCTATGACCACAATCGTTCCACTTGCATGACTTCTAATTCCTAAGTCATTTGCAATTGAATGCAGAAGCTGAAAATTAATTATGAATCAAAATTATTGAAAAGCAAACAAATGTAGTTAGAATGTGGTTATAAATTTTATTTTGCCAGTCGGGTCAAGGTCAGTATTTTATTGCCTATCTGATCGTATAGGATGTTCTTCATACTTGCAACTACAAATTCATTTCAACAATCAGGTTAGCCTGGAAACTACTCAAGTAAATCATTTATGAATTAAGGGATTTTATAAACTTTCACCTTGTTTAAATCCTCACAGAAAGGATGAGCCATCGGAATGTGACAGACTCCAGGAAAAAGATCTGATGAGCCATCATAAAATGTGCTCAGTCTTTTGGTAGTTCTGAAAATAAAATTTTGCTCCTTACCAAGAAATGGTATCTTTAATAAAATTTTGCATCTTTCGTTTTATTTATTAAGTTTCCGTCCAACTTCTAGATCATGCTTCATTCACTAATCATTCTAAGGATTCCATTTCACTTTTCCCATTGTAAAAATAATCAGTTATCAAATTTCATGCTATCTTTAATAAAATTTTTCAACTATAAATTTTTTTAATGCAACACTATTACACAGTAGCACGATTCTTCTATTACAATAAAAATCAATTTTCAATTCTGATAAATTTTTGTAATGTTATTTTTTAATTAGAAAGCAACCTATCAATGAACTGGTCTAAAATGACGACATCTCCAGGTACGATTGTCTCTTTTAAGGAGCCAACTGCACAGCTTACCACTAAAACATTGCACCTCTCTTGCTTAAGGGCCCAAATATTTGCTTTATAATTAACATTCGTCGGGTTGATTGTATGGTTTTTCCCATGCCTTAAAACAAAATGGAATTAAAATTTTTTTAATGTCTTGAAGATCACTTTGAAAAAATTGAAGTACCTGGACAATATAACACATCTGATTCCATGTATTCGACCAATTGTTAGAGAATCAGAAGTCTTGAATTATATAACATTACAACTAAATTCAAGCCATCATCAACACCATCTCAGACATGAGTTGAATTTTAATACATAAACAAATATAATCGGACATCATTTATAATAATGAAAAATTGAAAATAAGAAACAACGGACATTTCCAAAAGGTGTTTCAACAACTTTCACTTCTTTACATTCAACAAAACTTTCATCTTCTAAGCCAGATCCGCCAATGATTCCAATGGTGAACTGCAGTTGATCAAAAAGTCAGTCTTCAACTTATTAAAAATGAGCAATCCACTAAAACAAAGTCATTGGTGAGAAATACCATCTAATTAATAAAAAACAAATTCTGAGAAATATCATTCAATGACAAAAATCAGATTCAGACAAACACAGAAATCATAATGAAAATCAACATAAATTTTCAGGATCTAAATACTAAGTCTCTCAATCAATATTAGATTAGTGTAACTAATATTTACCTAACGTTTTTTAAATGTTTTTTTACAATCAAAATAATTTCCCTACTTTTTAAAATTTAAAGGCATATAAACTATAAAAGAATAATTTATTCACTGAGATCAGTTTTCAATTTCAGTAGCATGAGCATTGACTGACTTCACCAAATTTTTATTTAATTCTTATCTATCATTTTAGGATCTTTTACTATTTACAAAATGTAATTTAATACACCATCATAAAATTATATACCCACAGACTACCACTACGCCAACAACTTTCAAAATAATTATTAAACTTAAAAAATAAATACACTTTTAATTTAACTCTCATAATTAAATAATAAATTTTAATATATCTATCATAAATTTGCTGATTTTAATTTAGCTTTTCGGTTAAATATTTATTTATTATTATTATTAATGATAGAAAATTCAATAAAATAAATAGTTCAATACTTAAAGATTTTAAGCTAAAATCTTTTAAACTTGTCTTAAAACTAAAACACTCAGTCTTCTATCAAGTTATAATATCAGCTAACTACTAAAAACTAAATAATACAAATTTAATTTTTTTTTAATTATCAAATTTAAAATTTTTATACTAAAAGTTTAGTTTAATTTTCAATTTAAAATTTTTTAATCAATTAATGTTAAATTAAAAATTTAAATTAATTAAAATTAAATAAAGTTAACCAAATTTACTTTAACTAATTAATTAAAGCAACCCTTGACTCTAGTCTAAATGTAAAAAACTAAATAACAAGTAAAATTTAGTCAGAAAACGGCCAACCTCCATAGTTTTTATTACTTTTATTATTTATTATTAAATTACTGTTGTATAATTATAATATAATTTATTTATTTTTATGATTGTTTACTGTATTCTATACTCTCCTTGCTAAAGTTGCCTATTCTTTTCTATTGAGTGTATTAATTGAGTAATTGAATTGAATATTGAATCGAAATTTGAATTGAATATTGGAATTGAGTATTGACCTTTTTAGCTTTTTTTATTCTGATTTTATTTCTAAAATAAAATAAATTTATTTTTTAACAATTACAATTCCTCCTAACAAAAGATTAATTAAATAATTAATTATTTATTTAGTTAGATTAATTATTTGATCTTGCCGGCAAAATCCAACACACCGACCAGCAGCAGCTGACAATTTGTCAACCTTCGACCTTTTCCCAGCAAGCCTACTTCATTATAAGGCTAACATGGTTAACATAGACATTGAACAGATGCAAAGATGTCAAAGTGTGAGAGACTCCCAACACAATCATAATAATTAATTTGGCATTCTTTACGCCACGTTCAACAGTGAACTTCTTTAATATATTTAAAATCTGCGCCAAATTTTCCAAATCAATTTTTTATTTTTTTTCCGTTGAATTTTATGAGAACATTGGGTTGTAAATAAATAAATCAAAAAACAAGTGACTGAGAAAATCAATAGCAAAGAAAATGTAAACGTAGGCATGGCTGCAAATATTATTAATTTTAAATAGGATGATAAATCGAGAAAAATTAATCGTTCAACAAACAGTGGCTGTAAAAAGTGGCGCCCCTTGGGCTATTGAGGCCTGGAGCAGAAATATTTTTTTGAGGCCCTTCAGCAATATATATATATATATATTTTATTGTTTCATCAATTTCTCCACTGTGTTTTTAATTGATAAGATTGCTATGCCATTAAGTCTTGCTTGACTCATTGTCAAACGATGGTAACTTTTAATCAGCTTCAACTCAACTTCGAAAAGCTTCTTTCGTAAGAAGTTGAAACGCACACTGAAAAAAAATTTTTGAAGCTAAAAATAAATTTGGAACTGATTCACGTTAAACTATTTCTGTTAGATAAATTAACATTTTCAGAACAGACCATGGATATATATATGGAGCAGACCAATGTTCAGCCTCTTCTTTTTTAACTTTTCCTGCTTGAAGATGACGTTTTAACCGTTTAGTTTTGGCTATAATTTCATTTCCTTTTGCATTGATTCTATCCTTTTCTTAAGATCTTGTTAAAATTATCAAGTGACTGATACATAGATCGTCTTAAGTCTGGCTTCAATGTTAAAGCTTCATTTTTGGCCTCTTCTCCAGGCATAAACTTTCTTCAACTTTTTTGGCTAAATTTTTTCTAGGAATTATCCTTTCTTCACAAATATTTGTAGAAAATGTCAAAGCATTTTCAACGAGTTCGTTGCGACTTTTGCAAAAAAGTTCAAAGCATCTTATTTTTCAATGGTTTTTTTCTAAACCAATTTCTTTTATTTGTTGGCTTGTACTAATTTGCGGAAATGTTTCATTACAGGTTTCACAACATAATATTGTTCACTCCACCTGGTCCCTGCTAGCCTTTTCACAATGATCCCTACTGTTTCTGACAAAATATTCCACCTATGAGTTGATGATTCTTCCATCTTCCAATTATTCCAAACAACGTTACTGAGTTGAATTGCTTTTAAATGCATAAGCCTCACTCAAGTTAAGCGAATGATTAGATCAAAGTGCAAATCAAATCTTCTGAATAATTTGATAGAAATGATTTATACTCCGGAAGATCACCTGACATTATTGAACCATTGTCACAACTTTGGCTTCGACATAAATTAATATCCAAACCATCTTCAACAATATAGTCTATAACTTTTTGTGATATCAAAAGCCTTCTTTTTGGCAAGGGAAAAAAAAATCCTAAAAACGATTCTTTGACTTCTACATTTTGGTTTCTGATATGATCATATCTGATAATATGATCCGTCCTAAAAAAAAACTCCACTCTTCCTTAACTCGACAACTTTTACAAAATTATAATAAATTTTTTTTCTAATAGGAGTCATTCAACTTTCTTTAGCTCTACTCTTTCATCTACTCTACCAATTAATTCTAGCGTAGTTCAAGGCTCTGTCCTTGGACCATCTACATTTATCATTAATGCTTCTACTCTCAAAACTTTTCATAGCTCCAATCAAATCATCAAATACGCTGACGACACCTACCTTATCATCCCATCATCTAACTCAAACACCATGCAGTCAGAACTCGACTCGTTGTCACTTAATCTCAATCATAAAACTCATCATAAAAAATGGCCGTAAAAAATAACATTACCTCCAGAACACTTATCAATCACTCGCACAATTCAATTAAAATTATTAGGCTTCACATTTACCTCCACACTTAATATAGCACCTCATATCAACCACATAATCACAAAAAGCATTCAAACATTTCACGCACTCAAAACACTCCGCTCACATGGTCTCAGAGGCATCAAATTATTCGAATGGTCTCAGAGGCATCAAATTATTCGACATCACTGAATCACTCATAATCTCACGCATCAAATATGCAGCTCCCTCTTGGTCTGGTTTTGCTACACAACAACTTCAATCTCTCATCAAAAAACTAATCCGCTCAACTATCTACCTGCATCATATCCTACCGTCACTCAGATATTCAACACACTCGACTCAAGGCTGTTCAAGAAAGTAGAAAATAACAACAACCACGTCGTCCATCCTCTACTACCACCAATTAAAACTACAACACACAATCTTCGTCAGCGCAAACATAACTATCAAGTCGTCTCCCAATCTACATACCAGGATAAGACTTTCATCACAAGACACCTCAAACATATTAACACTCAATAAAACTTTCATCATTCAGACAACTAGTTTTTATTTATCGATAGCCTCACTAACTCAATAAGTTTTTATGCCATTACTTCATTTTATTGTCAATTTCTTTTCTTTTATTTATTTTATTATTTTTTACTTTATTTTTCATGTTTAAACATTTTTCTGTCTCCGTTTTTTATTTATTTTTTTGTTTAATTTTGTACAACTGCCTTGCATACTGTAATAGTTTCTGCGTCTGTCAGTTCCTGATTTTTAAATATTAAAAAAAATAATCTGGCTTAATCCCGTTGTAAGCAGTTTTTGTATGCGGCGATAAGCAAAAAAAAGATCGTCAATCACAAAAGTTGGAACTCCGGGTCAACATTGAAACATATTGAAACTTTTTCAAAAATTCCCCCCCTTGTCAACGTTTTAAAAATTTAAATTGTCTAAATCCGCCACTGGTGAGATGTATTAAACATTATCCAATAATACTTTGCTCTCCTTACATCTTCAATAATTTTCTGCTTTACGGTATCCCCCAAGATAGAAATATGATAAATTCATTCGGTTGGGATTTAAAAGAAACATTTTTTGTAACTCAGTATATTATATTTTCTTTTGGAAACTATGGGGTTTTTAGTGTTGGACTGGATTGGATGCACTAAGCCTGACAGGAAGCATGTTTACAATTGTTGCAATTGTGCGCGTGTATAGCGGTGTGTCGTCATACATACTTGGACCCACAGGTTTTTTCATTTTTTCTCGTTATTTTTATGTGCAAAATTTTTTTCTCTCTTTTAATTATTTTTATATTATTTTTGGCTGTATTAATAATTTGTTTAATATTTACTGATTCTGAGTTATATAATAGGGGTCTCGTGGCCTAGTGGTTAGCGTGTCCGTCTACCACTTCCACGACCCGGGTTCGAATTCTGCAGTTTCTACAGATTCATCCGGGTAGCCGACCCCCGGTCAACCTAGCCGTCCATCCTTTCGAGGTTGGTAAATGGGTACTAAGCGTATATGATGCGGTGCTTGCGAGTGCACATAAATACATGTGTACGTCGTGTGAAAAGGATAAACAGCCTTTGTGGCGGAGATGGCTGCTTCAAATCAATAGAAGAGGATTTGATGAACATAATAAAAGATATATAAATAACATATCTGTAACATTGGAAGTGGTTCTGCGTATGTCAGAGCTTCAATAATAAAGGCTAATAAAAAAAAAAATAATAATATAACTTATGGGCTAAATGAAACAAATAGTTTGATTTTTTCGTTCTCTTTGCAGCTGTAAAAAACAGTTAAAAAACAGACAAGCACACATTGCATGTAAATACACATGAAACACTTCATCACGCACATTGCGTGTGATATGCGGGGATCTTTTTGCAGCCGAATCCGGTCGATGCAATAGCAGTGCCAGATATTTTACCATTACACCATCCTGCTGCCAATATATAGTATTTTTAATACATGTTTTGTAGATATTTATTTTCATTCTTTTTTTCTTATAATTTAGTGATACCAGGCCTCAAATCTTCATTTATTTTTATAACGGCTATTGTTGGAGTACTTTGCTCAGTGCATGGAGAATAACACCTGGTGAACAATGATGATTTATTTTTATGAAATTTATCATTAACTTGGAAGTAAGGCTAACCTGTTGCCACGGAAACATTTAAACACTGAATGTAGTTGCTTCCATGATTATCCACTTTTAAAAAAACATGGCACAATTTTTCAACTTCTTCACTCAGACCACTACCTTCATTCCCTTAAGGTTAATAACAAAATAATTATGAAGGCGCAAATAATATTCAATCAATAAATCAATTAATGCCATTGAATATATATATCTTAATTTCTAAAAGTTCAGTTGGGCTCAACCCAAAACTTGCAAAACAAAAAATTACGAAAAATTTAAAATAAATGAAATTAAAAAAATGAAGGGAAGAAAAAAAAGCAAGCGTGAATATTCAATGGACAAAACTTTTGAAAAAATTTAAACAGCAAACACCATAAACTAATCAATTGATTAACAGAATTAACGATAAAATAATAGGATAATAAAAATAATAAACCCAACGTACAGCAAAAATAATCAACAAATCAATGAATCAAGCACATAGAAAAATCAGGTAATCAATTAAACGATAATAGAAAACAGCATGCTATAGACAAGCAATAAATCAATAAAACAAACATAAAAAAAATCAAAAATCAATTAAGAAAGTAATAAATGAATAAATAAATAAAGCAAGTATATAAAAACAAATAATTAAACAAAAAACATGCAAAATTAAACAAGCAATAAATTAATAAAGTAAACGTAAAAAGAATTAAGTAATAAACAAACGAGCATAGATTAAAAATCAATAATCAGTTAAACTAACAGTCGATAACGCTTGAATCTAGAAATCAAATAACTAATCAATCAAGCATGGAAAATCAAACGAGCAATTAAACAAGCAATAGATAAACAGAGAATCAAAATTAATAAAATAATCGCATATGACAAATCAAATAGTTAATTAAACAAGTAGCGAAATAATCTTAAAAAATTCTGATAAAACAATTTAATAGCAAAAGTTTTTAAACCGAAAAGTTTTGAGACCTGCTCTAAACAATGAAATTGATTTAGAAGAAGTAAGAGTAACAGGCGAGAATTCCATAAAAACGTTTACATTAGTGTGTAATATAATATATAAGTATATTACATATAATGTACCTACATTATTTATATTATATTAGTGTATAAAAATATAAAAATTTCTCACCAAATATAACAGCGATGTTTTTATTATTAATTACTTGACACATGTTCATATCGATCATTTTTGTCTTATCAAGATTGTCATCTGCTGAGGTACCGCAAATAAGCCACTCATCAGACGAAAGCTCCTTCGGAAAAATAAAATAGCAGTGAATGAATTAAATTAAATTTAATGATCTATCCATTAAAGGCATTTGTAAGAAATTAAATAATGCCATCAACAATTTGTCTATATATCATTTAGCGTAAAAATATAGTTTTCTTTGTCCTTGGCAGAGTCAAAAACAAAACTTTGAACCAAAATGAGTTAAAACTTGTCGGCTGAATTTGCCTCGCTTACGTTGGTGGGTCTATTTCACTTTATCGTTTTGTCATTGTGATAACTCATTTGACTGGTTTACAGTTTTAGATTGTTATAGGCAGAAATCAAGATGAAGCAAGCTGAGAGATTTAGCACACAATATTTTTAATTTAATTTAGGACTCAAGTGAAAAATGTGAAACATTTCAATAGAAATAGGAACATTTTGTCGGAACTATTTTTTTAATCAATAAACTTGTCCTTTTAGAATGTAATAAAAAAATAACAATAAAAGTTATTGTGGGCTGTCCATAAATGATGCCACGCTTTTTTAACGTTTTTTTGACCTCCCTCCCCCGTGTCACAAACTGTCACAAATCGATCAGCCCTCCAAAAATAAGCATGTCACAAAACTTAACTCCCACTCTTAGTGAAGAGTCATTAAACAATGTAACTGTTCTATGCATTTCATTTTTTATTGATATCAAAATAACGAATGACAACTCTGACTGGTCTAACTTTATTATGCTGAAATAAAGATGTTTTGTGAATAACATGATGCCTTTTTGCCATCACAATTGAAGCATTACATAACCAACATATTTCGCAGATGCTGTTTTTAAAAGAACCTTGAACAGAAAAGCAAAATGCATCATATGGGAGCCGGGACAAGCTGTTTGGAAGGGCTATTTTATTTTTCAACACCAATCAATTTTCATTTAGCGTCCAGAGACCCAGTTTCCAGAGGTAGGAAACGTTGTTTTCTTTGCCATCAACTTTTTGCGCCAAATTAGACGATCAGTTGTATCCATTTCATTTAAATTTAGAGCTTTCATGTCTTGCTCGATTGTTTGCGACCAGGACTTCTTTGGACAGTCTTTGGGACGTGTGCCAGATACTTCAACATCTGCAAGAAATGTTATGGCACTGTTTCCACTTCGTTTGACATGACCAAACCACCGCAGACGAGGTTGCCGGCATTTGTCCTTTATATCATCTAAACCAGCACGACGCAAGATTTCGGTAGATTTGATGTGGTCCTTCAGACTAATTCGTTGCATCCATCGGAGCATTTTCATGTCGGTTCGTTGAAGTTGTTGTTCCAGTTTGGTTGTCATTGGCCATGTTTTTGCACCATATAACAAAACCGGACGTATCACAGATTTATAAAGTCTTGATCGTAGTGGTAGTGGGATGTCACGCCGCATCAATATAAAGGCAAAAAGATGCCATTTATTCCAGGCTGTCCGTATGCGTGCTCGAACGGCAGCTTCAGCTGTTCCAGTACAATCCAGAACATCCCCTAGATATTGAAACGATGTGACTTTCTCTACCTTAATGGCTTCAAAAACATTGCTATTTCGAATTTGTTGTTGTGGATTGATGCAACAGGAAAATAAAATTGGACACTTTAGATAAAGTACCAATTATTTTTGAACAACGTTTGTGACACCACTGGTTACACTGCAGACTAACAAATAGATTTGAAAATTTACTGTGTTTGTAGGCCTTCACTATTTTGACTAATTGGAACTGGAGGTGGCAGAAATCCTTTAAGGACTAGTTTCAACAGATCGCTTCTAAATTTGGAGCAACAATTAATATCTGCATATTTGGCAATTTGCAAAAAATATTGTTTGAACATTGTTTGAAAATCAATGGACAGATCTGTTAAGTAAATTATCAGCCTTTAATTCAGATGCGTTAGGATTAATATATTCCGAAATTGTTGGATAACCATCAAATACTACGTTAGACTTGATTTCTACAAGCACTTTTCCAGCGTGCTAAAAGTTTATTATTACCATATCTTAGACGACGATGCGGTTTTTAGAATCTAGGTGGTTACCAAAATGATCGTGAGGTAATATTAAAAAAAAGGGACGTCACACTTGCGTTGAAACGTGACTTCCTTTGTGGACGACCCTGTTTATTAAAATTTACTAGATAATTAAGCGTTTAATAAGCGAAGATCCTTTTGACATATTCGAAGACGCCCATAAGCATAAAGCGTTAAGAATGTTTTTCATAAAACAACAAAATGTTAATTTTACTGTTATGAAAGCAGCCAGAGAATCAACAGCGAAAATGTTTGCAATCTCCATCGCTCCAGCGCTGGCTTTGCTTACTGCTGGTGAAAGTCGACAACTGTGATGAAAAATCTCGTTATTTTTAGCCTTTTACGAATTTGTGTTTTAAAAATATTTAATTAAAGTAAATCGCAAACAATAACTACCGAACATTTAAAACTGTTCTATTGTGCAAAATAAACCGGCTATCAAAATATTACACAATGATTTTTACGGTACTCTTTAACAAAACGCAAATTCAAAAAATTGAAGGCCAACGAAGAGATATGACAACGCCAAATATTACCTATTTAAAAACTCTGATAAACAACAGCAAACTATTCGGCAGGAAGGTGACACGTGTCAATAATAATAATAATGGGAAAATCCTTTTATTTTCATTTTAAAACATTTGTAATTATAAAGTTAAAATAATAAAACTTATAATGTAAATTATATATATATTCAACAATGCTCTCCATACATTTTGAATGGGCACAAAGAGAAATAGAATCAGCATTAAATTATGTTCAAATCGTGTTCCTTTCACATACTAAGAAAAGTAAATTTATTTCATAAAAATAGAGTTGTAACAAAATCTTTACAAAATACCTGTTGTTGGCTGTAACACAAATATTTTCAAATCCAAAAAAATTGCATGTTCGGATTATAGAACCGAAATTCATTGGGTCCTGAAAGTTGTAAACTCCGATTGCAGAAGCAATTTAATATAAAATAAAACATGTAACAATTGTTAAATCTCATTAAATTCCAGTTATTTTACCCAGTTGTAAGTGATATAGCGTCAATATGTAAAACAACTAGAGACGGACCGAATACTCGACCATATTTAAAGACCGAGTAGCCAAATATTCCGTCTCAGCAATCATGTTTTTAGATACCTGAACAATAATTGTTGATTTTTATTGGCCGAAAATTTATTTTGGCCATCATAAATCTTAAAACTTTTAAATTTGAACAAGAGATTGAATTTCAACTCAATAAAGAATTGTTGAAAAGAATTGAATCGTCTAAGGTTTTTTCATTGCAAATTTTTCATTTTAATTTTTTTTCAACTATTCGGTGTCATGTCAACGTAAAACATAATGGAGGCCCAAAACATAAACAAATCTGGAAAGATCATGAGATAAGAACAAAATGTACATTGAGATAATATTGTACTAATCTTTTATAATGAAGTTCAGCTTATGAACATTGAAGTAATTTATAGTAAATCATAAAAAATTCAGCCCAAATAATAGTAGCATAGTTCGACTCCAATATTATGAACAATTTAAACTTAACTGAATTAGAATGGAAATTTAACTCTTAAAATCTCACCTGAATGGAATCAAGAATAACAAGCTTTTGCAGCAAATCATTGACTCGCGGAATTTGTTTGTATCTGATTGGAAAGTTATTTTTTGAAAGATTATTTTATTATTAAATTTTATTATTACCATCAGTTTGCAAAGTGAAAGATTTTTGCAATCAAAATTAAAATTAGTCACTATGAAAAAAATCTGACATTTTAGGACTAAAAAAGCAGCTTTAACGCACAAACACGAGATTTCTCAAGCCCAAGTTTAGATAATGCTATAAAAGATGAATTTTATTAATTGTTTAATGGCGTAAAAGTTTCAATTTGAATATAGTTTGAGAATGATATCAGCAGGGCTGTTAATAGCGGAGTAGCGGTATCGGCGCTTCTGCTGATATTTTAGTATCGGTAGTAACAGCGATTCATTGAATAGTGGCAACTTTGGTGGTGGTGCTACTTTTGAAGCTAAAATAAAATCTGATTGCTACTTTTGAATTGAAAATACTTTTTGTTTAATTAACGATTTTTTACTGAAAAAACTTTGATCAAACGGCGTTGCTTCGTTTCTATATTCGTTGTTTTATTTTCGTTGTTTCATGTTACTTCGCAACCCGAGTGGCTCGTTTTTCGTTGTATCCTGTTGACAAGCTATAGTTAACAGGAAGAAAAATTTGTGTACCTCTGAAACCATAGCTCAAAAATAAACATTTAAAAATAATGATATTCATACGTTCAATTATGTAGTGATCAAGAAATTGTAAATTATAAATTTATAATGATGTATTAGTGTAATTACATAAGCGTGATTGTCATTGTACATCCTTTGGTCGGGGTGAGAGAGGGTGCACTTTACGTACTCGTGCTGGCCAACCGTACCTGCAACAGTAAATAGGCAAATTCTCACTCTCATACATATTCACGTACTTGTGGATTCAAGTCGACAGATCATTTCCTTTATTTATCAAAGTTAGAGTATGTCTCTATAGACCAAAATGTGCTTTTTTGAATTACCCAAACAACACCTTAGTTTGCAATATTGTCCACTGAGATAGTATTAAAATAAATGCACTAAGATGATGTTTTGGCTCGGGCTACTGACGAGTCCGGTAAGAGACGAAACGCGTCTAACCTGTAACGAGCTGTTACTGCAGGTACGATTAGCCAGTACAAGTATGAAAAGTACACCCTTTGGTCGTGGTGGAAGAGGGTGTACTTAACGTACTCGTACTGGCCAACCGTAGATGGCAGGTGGGCAAATTCTCACTCTTTACTTTTTTTTATATACCTATTACATTATTTCGGAAGCATCACTAAACATAGACGGCTTTTCTGGAGGTGCTATTGAATGTATATGTGCTATGTGAATGTGCTATTGAAGTCGACGATGGATCAATCCTTGGGCCACTGCCGTTAGTGTGTTTTACACGGCTGACATCATTAAAACTGTAGAAGAGAGCTTTATGGTTTCGATATTTATGATGAGTTATGATAGCACCCAACAAAGACTAAGACTCATGAAGGATATTATGTCGCCAGTAAATGACCTCGGTGTTGTACTGGATTCATGTTTGTCAATGAAAGACGATGTTGAAAAATTATTGTTATTAACTCTATTGAATTAATCCAAAAAACACTAGTTTTGTTTGCAGTAGAATCGATTTCTCTAATTCTTATGCCCGCTACTATTCATTATTTAAATAAATGACTTACCAATTTTATCTCAACTATGCAACTTCATCCTTTATGCTGATGACTCAAATGTATCCTTAACAGGATCAAACTTAAGAGTTGGTCTATAAGTATGCTACTTGCAACTATTACTATCTCATTTATGTAGCGTTCGTTGCATGATGTGGTCATGAAAATGATCAAACAATGCTTGATCAGCAGCCACAAATGCTGTGAACATCAATTAATGAAAATTCAAAATTATTTAAAAAGTTCTACGATCGACTACGATCGACCTTTTTTCACTAGAACGAATTTAAACCGAAAAATTTTAGACTGTTTTTTTTCATAAAACATTGAAAAACATATTGAGTAATTGTTATTCAAATGTAATTTTATTACATTAATTTTCAAAGTGCTTGTAATTTTAGTGCGTAAAATTATAAAAAAACGTTCATAATTTAACTTTTATCGTTTGTAATTTTGAGGAAATGAAAATATGGGGAACGGGAAAAAACGGAAAAGGAAACACGGGATTGAGGTGAAAAATTATGGAAATTTCAGAAAACGTTGGTCAAAACGGAAATTTAATAAGGGAAAATTCAGAAGGGAAATGAGAATGACCCAACAAATTGAGAGAGAACTGATAACAAATTTCAATTCCCGATCACCTCTATTTTACACCACGCTTTCGTCTGTACGTTGTGCTGTCTGGAACGTTAAATGCCAAATCGCCTCAAAACAAACGCGCAAGATACCACGTAAATTTAAACTCTCTTTTTGAGCAAGCCGAATTAAACCCTGGTAGAGCAATAAACCCAAATTTTAATATAAACACATGCTGATGAAATAAAAATGGCGGATCCGATGCCAAGAACGTGATTGTTGGTTATTTTATGTATATTTTTTATCAAGATGCGTATGCACTGCATGCAAATACGATAAATCAATTAATACCAAAACTATACAATGAAGTAAAATTCATGACTAACGAGCTAACTTTAACAGCATTCAGCTTGCTTGCATTAAGACAAATTCCCTTCAAATTACATAAAAATGTTAATATAAATATTAAAAATGAACAAAATAATTTTTAACCTGATGTTGCTTTCCATGAGCTATTTGTGACATAAGCAAATATTTTTGAATTGAAGTGTTGATATGTAAAAATTCAGCTTGTGCTAAAATATCTTTAATTTCACTTTTTTCTGAGAAAAATAAATTTTCGCTTAACACCAATTCATAAAATTCTCTCTTTTTGGCGTTTATTGCTGCTTGCACTGGGTGAATTCCATAAATTATATCTCCCTTTATAAATCTGAAAAATTAGAAGCTTTTTGTACAATTTTCACAAAAAACAATTTAGAAAACTAACTGTGAACATTGAACAATTTTTTTCAAGTTTTTTTCTGTAAAAAAAAAGGTAGATAATAAATATATCAAGCTTATTGAACAATGAATTAAAGAATTGTAAAAACACAATAAAATGATCTTGATCTGGTGTAGTGTAGCATACAAATCACACATAATAAGATATTCATTTTATTGTTCAATGAGAAAAATTTAAGGTTTAAGGGCAACTTTAAAAAAATAATTAATTTTCAACCAATTATTAAAAGGCAAAATGAGATGATTACGAATGTTCAAGGCCGGCATGGAATCATCATTTAACATCTCCATAAAAGACCAAGATCATTCAACATAAAAAAAATATAATTCATATGCTTAACAATTTGTTACACATTTTCAGCTCACTGTACATTGTTTATGATGATTATGAAGATAAAGTAATGAAGAACAATTTAATAGTAAAAATGCAAAATGGTTGGTGCAGAACAAATATCTAAACATATTAGCAATTTTGTCATGAACATATCGGCTGGACTGGATGGCATCCATAATTGAATTATAAAAGAATGTTGTTCGTTCCTCTATCAGCCCATTTTTATGTGAATCGTTTAATGCATTGTTAAGATATGGTTTGGTTCCAGATGCTTGGAGAGACTGACTTGTTAGTCCAATTTTTTTTAAGAGGAGAAAAGTCTGATAAGCAGAATTACAGGTCAGTTAGATTGAGTGTTATCTGTAAATTATTAGAATATTTGTTAAGGATGCATTGAGAGATCATTTTGAAGATAAGCATTTGATGGTTTACAAATGTTAAACTTAAAAAACACATAGAATGTGTGCATATTGAAGTACAATAGATAATGATTCTGAAGTGAATTTTAAAATATTACTACTACTCATTTCTTAACTATTTTTGCACTGTTATTTAAAGGAATGTTGCATGAATGAAATGAAAAAAATAGTTTAAAAGTTTAAAAAATTCCATTCAAAGTTCTAACCACCATTTATCCAATGATAAAATATAACAAAAAGCACCTAAGCAAAACGACGGCATGCTTTTGTTAGTACATGCTACTGTTGTATATTTTTAAAAAGCTGAATAATTCTATTATTAGATTATGCTCAAAATAGTCTTATCTGTCATATGGTTCACTGTGCTAGTCCTGTTTGAAACTTTGGTATACTTGCATAGCTGTCCGCACACTTCTCACTTGCTGTACATGACATATTTGTTATAACATATATTACAATCATATTCTTACATATTAATACACAATTGACGATATACATACAAGCATAAAGGAATAATAAACAAAATTTTAACAGTTTTTTTTACGTTATTTTAAATGTCAATGCTATTTTGCTACTTTGTCAATGAATTTTACGTTATTTTTAATGTCAATGCTATTTTATTTATAATTTATATCATTCAACCGATAAATGCAAAAACAATATTTTATTTTTGTAATGTGAATTATAATTATATAATATATAGAATATAGATATACATATAAATCACATTTTAAAAATCAACTTTTATATATATAAATAAATAAATTATACCTTAGATAAATGTATTTTGTATTGTATTATAATAAATTATATATATATGCATGCTTTTATATATGCATAATCTCGTTTAATAAATAATCTATTTTCTATTAGTTTTATAACTTTTATTTATTAATTATATTATTTTTCTTAATAATTTTTAAACCTTATCACATCAAAGTGCAAATATAAGATATAACACTCTCTAACCCTCCTACAGTCATGTTTCACTGTGCATACATTTTTTGTGGATTGTGGACATTTTATTCTTAATCTCGTTTAATAATTAATCTATTTTCTATTAGTTTTATAACTTTTATTTTTATTTATTAATTATTTCATTTTTCTTAATAATTTACTTGTTTACTGATTTACTCACTGTTTCCTGTGTGAAGATGTCCTATGCAACGCATTAAAAAAATAAGAACGTTTGATTTTGAAAAATAAAATTGTGATTTTAAAATCAACATAACTAAAATTATATAAAAAGAACTTCGTAGTAAAAGCCGGCACGACAAAAATTGCCGACACCTAATTTAAAAAGCAAATCAATTATGAAAAGTGAATGGTGGTAATGAATAATTCTTTAGTGTTTAGTTTTATTTTTAAAATAAAAAAATTAATGAAATAAAATTTATAAAAATGTAATGTATATATTTAATTTTATTAAATTAACTATATGATTTTATCTAATTTAATATAATTAAATTACTTCACGGTGATTAAGTCACAGCATGTTCGGCATATATATATAAGTTATTCATACCTTGGTGCATGCATTTGTTCATTCACGATTGGACTATTGCAATGGTCTGTTTTACGATTTGCCAGATAGGTCTACTTCTGCAATTCAATCTATTCAGAAAAGAGCAGCCAAATTGATTGTTGGAGGTCTCAAATTTAACCATGTTACGCCAATTCTTAAGGGCCTTCATTGGCTTACTACAAAGAAAAGAATTAAATATAAAATATGTATTTTGATGTATAAAACTGTGCATGGCTTGTTACCAAGTTATTTGATAGATAAAATAAAAGAAAAGTCTATAATGATGAGTGGTATGAACCTTAGATCAGATGATGGCATTTTGCTGGTTGTACCTGATGTCAATCTGCAGGTAGCATCAAGAGATTTTGCAGTATCTGGACCAATGTTTTGGAACAGCTTACCGAGATCTTTTAGAACTAAAGATTTGAAACTTGATGATTTTAAAAAGAAACTTAAAACTTACTTATTTTCGCTTTGATTTTGTTGTTAAGTGAATAATTATTTGTTTGTTACTACCACCACTGACTGTACTTTTTCTTTTTTGACTTTGTTTGATTATAGATAGCGCTTTTGAGAACTTTTTGATTTTAATTAGCGCTTATAAATTTTTCATTAATAATATATATATATATATATATATATATATATATATATATATATATATATATATATATATATATATATATATATACACACATTCTGTATGTGTCCAGGATGTGTTTCATCCAGTCCTGCAGATTTGCTAAAGTTCAATATTTTCAAATTTTGCTGATATTATTGCCTCATTAATCAATAAATCTTCATAACTACTATATCTTGAAAATCGCCATGTGTGTCATCATCAAAAACTGAAAAAAAGTTAGCATATGTTTCTTCAACCATGGAATTATATAACTAATATAATAATATATAATTCAATGGTTTCAACTTTATCTTTAACATCGGTAATTATTTTATTTTCCCTCCTATGGTAGTGGACCTACCAAGTCATCATATCTGAATACTTTTTTCACAAAGTTTCAGAACAGCCTGGAGTCATTATTATATTCTCTGGCAATTCTATCATGAGAATGAGTTTTCAACTCACGTGTACATTTTTTTCTCTGATTGCACGGTAGATTTCTATCTTGTCCTCACCATATCGGTATAGGCCAGAGTAAATGCTTTTGTTTGATCATCTCTTAAAGTTCATTATTTATTTTAAATTTATAATTATAATTTTTTGGAACAAATATTTGAGTAAATAATTAAATTTTGTTTCTAAAAAATTTCCATCTACTCACAGCATATCCACTTAAAGCAGATGAAACTTCCATTGCTTGTGATAGGTCACTTCTGAAACCCATGTAATTTCCCAAATCATAACAAATCTTTTTCTTACTTTTTACAGCACAACATCCGAAACCAGTAATCTCGAATCTAACAACTGTGAATAATCACAATTTTCTAGTGGTGGAAAGTGTATAATGTTGTTAATAAATTTCTGATTTGATATCATTAAATCTAAGATATTTGCTGTTTGACCATCTCTAAATTTCGTCGGTTAATTGATGTGCTGTAACAAAAATTCATCTTTCAAAATATTCAAAAATTTATTGTCTATCCTCTCGTTATCACCCCTGCAACTGAATGTAGCCCAATCGATCTCAGGAAAATTGAAGTCACCCATCATCGACAAATTTTCAGTAAGTGCCAGCCTATTATAAATCAGTGATAACAATTTGTTGTTATTTTCATCATCAGATTTGGACTTTTGTAGATGAAAAAATGTTCAAAAATTTGTTAGGACACATAATATCTTGAATCGGCCAAATAGTTATCATTATGCATTACTGAACACACACTAGCTTATTTTTTTATTTAAATCTGAAGCTGATATAGTGAATAAAGCTGGTAGTTTTTTTACTAGATTCACACAATGGCGGATCTAAGGGGAATAAGGGGAACAAGGCGGGTCCTTGTCTCCAGTTATTAAAATTCAATATATCTCAGTTTTTAGTCAAAGTTTGATCAAAAATTGAGGCTATGAAACAAAATAAGGTAACTAGCCTAACTTTAGCAGAACTGGTACAAATTTGGTGATTTTTTTGCCCCTCCACCAAATTTCAAAATTTAAACCTTTTTTAAATTTCGGCCCTTTCGGTCAAAGTTGTCTAGATCTGTCATTACATATATCCCTGCATACAGCCATATACATTGAATACAGTATAGTCAGCGGAATGCCTATCAAGCACGATGATCTCAAATCAATCAGTTCGGCTATACGTACACCAAAAAAGATACTAAATATGCATAAATATTATGCAAATGCATAAAATAAATCAATTAAAAAACAATTAAAATATTTAAAAAATAAACAAATAATGATGTGGCTTCCAAGGGGAACATGTTGACGTATCAGAGGCTCCAAGGTAGCAGCTGACCAGTTAACAACGACTTTCAAAACACATTTACACGATTCCCGTTCGATTGCACCAAACACCCAGTGTCCTTCACTGAACCTGCCACGGTGATATTTTCTGTGAAAGTACTTGCTTTCGTCTACTTTGACAATGATGGATTCACCGTTTTTATTGAAGCCGCCAAGCACCACAGGTGTTTGTTGTAGGTATGAGTCGCATTCCTCTTGACAGAAATTATACCAGTCTACAACAATTCGTGCACTACCAACAGACGAATCGTGAGCAGTAACATCTGTTGCATGTCTTTGCACTAACATTAGACTAGCATCATAATTTTTTCAAAGAACAAATGGCTCCTTTCTCGTATATTGCGGTAGTACCGACAATCGTTACAAGCCCATTGCTTCCTGTTTGTGAGACCGCTTCATCACGGTTATCTAACTCAGCGCTTAGCGTCACCAATCGCCAACTCTCCTGTAGGATGGACGGCTGGATTACTTCGTTTGGCAGAACAATATACGCATTTCCAGGCGGGAGTCCAGACATTTTAATGATTTTTTTGAAATTATTATACTTCTTATTTATATTGCAGAGGACTTCCTGCGTTGTGAATTTGTATCAGGGTTGGCATCCAACGTTGTCAATTAACCAACGTAAAGTGAGATTACCAAAAAGAGTAATAATAAGCTTTTGTTGAGGCAGTTTCAAACTGTGCCGTGTAACTATTCTGGAAAGTTGTTCCGTCTATCGCTGGTGCAGTTAAATTTTCACCGGAGTGTGGTATAGCGTCGCAAATGGTCGCAACTCTTTTCTGTAATTTTTCCTATTTTTTAGCTTCACCTTTTTTCGTTTTACCAGCAATTTTTCGATCCAATTTGCTAACCTCCCTTTTTAATTTCGTAATCAAATTTTTCTTATTTTTTTATGTTTTTATGTTGCTTCATATCTGCTGACAATATTACATTTTTTGTTCCCGCTATCGGTTGTTCTGTTTTTGCAGCTTACTGTCACTATTCAACAATATTCTGTCTGTATTTGTATTATAAGTATATGATCTGTATAGAATATTATTCTGGTGTTTCATATTTAGCTGTCATTGTCTTTATACGTGTTTCTACGTTGCCAATCTCAGTTATTCTTTAAAGTCCTCTCAACTTAGTTAATTTTAATTCATGACTAATTAATCTTGTTCGTGATTGTTTGGTTGTAAAATTATTTGTGATAAGTTGAGTTGAATTTTGCTTTTGGTGAGGCTTAATATCGGCAAAAATATATTGTAGAATTTTGTCATATCCATCCATTCCATTCCTGATTTATTGTTCAAGAACTTCTTGTTTGAACATCAAACTTTGATGTGATAGAAATCACTCAAACCTAATTTCTTATCATTCAATCGAAGCTGGTACTTTGCTTATCTAGTGATACTAAATCTCTAAATGGTTAATTTTGATATGACACTTAGTTTTTTCAAAATTTTTAGGTAAAGTTGAATGTTGAATTGTTAGATTCTACTCTAACTAATACTCTAAAGTCTAAAGTAATTCAATTCAACTTACTTATAAATTATTAATTCTAAATATTATAATTAATTAATAATTAATTAAATTAGTTAAAGTTTAATTTTTTAAAAATTAATTACTAAATTAAAAAAAAATAAAACTAGTTTATTTTAAATTTTTAAAGTATAAAAAATATTTAAGACTTAAATTTAAATTAATGTTTCTTGTTTTTTATTTAATTACATTATTAAAATAATATTACATAGTTTATTAATAATAATAAATCAATAATTATCTATTTAGTTGTTAATAACACCAATTTTACATTCCTTGTTTATATGTTAATTGATTATTAATTAATGAATTATTAAATTTTATTCATTGGCATGGTTGGGTCAGTTTGTTTTTATTATACAGTTGAGTAAGCATTAATAATATGATAAAATTGTTTAATTAGTTTTGAATGAATTGGTATGTATTTTTTTTATTAAGAAATATAACTTTTTTACAAAAATTATTTTATAAAATGTAACAAATACAAAGAATTATATTTTTACTAATTTATAATTTAATGTTTTTTAAAAATTTTAACATATTGGTAACAGCAGGCTAAATATATAATTAAATAAGTAATTACATTGAGATGATTTTTGTTTACCAGGTGCAAATAACATAATTGTAAGTGCTTCATTATGTGAATTTAGTTGACATTTTCTCAGCATCTTCCATAATGTGCACAAAAGTTATTTACAATTTTTGCTGCACAATGCAAATTGCGCACAAAATTCATTCAAATTTTTTTCTGCACCTAGTGTATTGTTCGCAAAAGTCAATTAATGATATGATTACGCTCTGCATGGAACAAATAAAAACAACATACACAATAGGATAAAATTTGAATTCAAATGATTTTAAATTTTGGTTTAATTCATTCATAGTAGTTGTTTTTGATTTTAAATCAATTTGTGATTGTAAATCTAAATTAATATTGGTGCGATTTTGATGATTTTAGGGGTTTTCCTTTATTATGAAACCATATCACTCAATTCACAAAACATATATATGTATATATATATATACACACACACTTATATATATGTATATATAATAACATATATATATATATTCAAAATGTTGACTTTTTATTATGATTATTCAATGAAGATGAAGATAAAGTGATTTAATTTTATGTTACTATCTTGTTAACTCAAGTTGTAAAATTATTTTTGCTTATTTAAATTATTTACAAATTTATTGTTTTTTATTCCTTAAAATGTAATAATAACAATATTAATAATAATACGATAATAGTAATAATACAATTACCGGGAACCGGGATCGAAACTGTTACTTCATTTCAGTATTTGGGAGCTATGCTGGATTTTACTAGAACAGCTGATGCCGCCGTTCATGGACGCATACGTGTGGCATGGGGCAGATGGCACCTTCTTGCCTTTGTACTGATGCGGCGTAGCATTCCTCTACCACTGCGCTCAGAACTATACAGCACAGCTATACGCTCTGTTCTAATGTATGGTGCAGAGACGTAGCCATTGACAACAAAACTTAAACAGCAGCTTCACCGAATTGACATGAAGATGATTTGTTGGATGCAGCATGTTGATCTAAGGGACCATATCCATGCAACCAAGATCCTGAACAGATCGGGACTGTGCACGTTGAAGGATGCATGTCGTCATCATCGCCAAAGATGGTTTGGCCACGTGAATCGAAGCGAAAACGAAACAATAATTTCCGATACTGAGCACCAGGTGCCTAGCACCCGCCCAAGAGGTCGCCCAAAAAAATCCTGGACTCAGACCATACAGGAGGACTTGAAGGCACTTGGTTTCAAGAAGACAGACGCAATAGATAGATTGGCTTCGAGACAGAAACTGATGAATGGAATAAAAAAAGTCCAACCCATAACGGATGGAAACTTTAAACGAGGATATTCTTTAACATGTTTTCATGCATTTTTTGATTCTTTCTTCTTTCTTTCTTGTGTTTCTTATCCTTTCAGGACATTGGCGACCATAAACCTCCACAAAAACCGATCTTTAAAATTTTGTAACAGTTGAAATGTGGTGAAATTCAACAAGTGACACATGGACCTCACAAATGTTATTGTTGACCACAATCTCTTCTCTCTGCAATCTTTCCAGTAATTGTTAGATTTTCCATTTTTTCCTTCTGCATGATGTGACCAAAAAACTTTAACTGCCGTGTTTGAAAACTATTCTTGCTTTAAATAAACAACATGCTAAATGCGTAAAACAATTTTTATGGAAACCATTTTTCAGTTGTATTTTGTCAATGCAAGTTCATTATGTAGCCTGAGATCTTATAAGGGTTAAAAATTTTGGTATTTGGATCATTCATTACTTTTTTAAATATTTTTTATTCTTTAACTGTTAATACATAATGGTACTAAACGATGGATACGTTGTAAATTTGAAAATCATGCAAATGGTCATTTACCAAATTACTTATTCAACCGCTGTTATCAATAAAATTTTTGCTTTTCTTTGAAATTCAAATAATTTTTAAATATAATTTTTATTATTTCAGAATTACCTAAATGCCACATCATAAACAGTCCCAAGTGACCAGTTCCAAAAATGAGAGTTGTCAGGACCTTTCTGATGATAAAGCTGTATGTTCCTTAGATGATTGTTCTAGAAAAGTTTCAAAGTTTTGGAAATTTTTTATATCAAAAACCCACGAGACCAACCCGGATGTCTCAAAAACGACAAAGAGCAAAAATAAATGTCTGACAAAAAGGTCAGTTAGTCCTGTTAAACTTCACTATGAACTAACGTCTGATGCCATGATTTTTTCCTCTCCAAGATGTATGGCTGCGGATTCATCACTTTGTTTAAGTTCTAATTTTTTTACTCAGAACAGTAGAAATATTGGAAAGTACAGTGCTGATACTTTCAAACCTGTAAATATTGATTCAGATATTAATTCAGTAGGAACAGTTCATACTCAGGTTGACTACATTCATTGCCTCGTGCCAGATTTACATCAGATAACAAATTGTAATTACTACTGGGGTGTGATGAATAGATATGAAGCTGAAAAATTACTTGACAACAAACCTGATGGAACATTTTTATTAAGAGACAGTGCTCAGGAAGATTTTCTGTTCTCTGTCAGTTTTCGTAGATACAGTAGATCATTGCATGCTAGAGTTGAACAGTTGAATCATAAATTCAGTTTCGATTCTCATGATTTGAATGTTTTTGCTTCAAGCAGTGTTTCAGGATTAATAAAACATTACAAAGATCCGTCGTGTTGCATGTTCTTTGAACCAATGCTGACAATACCTCTATCAAGAAACAAGCCATTTTCGTTGCAGTTCATTTGTAGAGCTATAGTCTGCAGTCGAGTTAAATATGACGGTGTTAATTTGCTACCCATCCCAAAGTGTTTAATGGAATATTTACAGTATTATCATTACAAGCATATAGTAAGAGTTCGACAGTTCTAGCCCAGCTTAATATGTAAAATTTAACATTCCCGTGCAACCACAGTACACACAATTACATTTACTAACAATTTCATTTCAATGATTCAGTCTTGAAACATTTATTTTGTAAATTTGATTTATTTAATACATTGCTTGATTTTGTTTTTAAAAATTTGCTTTGATGTTTTCAATTAATCACCGGCATAACCATTGATTTACACAATGAATCACTTTAAACGTTGACCTGCCGCGCATTCTTTATTTTCAATTTTTTCTCGCCAATTACCTAAGTCGAAAACGGTAAGTTAGTGCAACATTAATTTATGATGCATGTGTGTGTAACGTCATTGCTGCTCTTGCTTCTAGTGAAATTTATAATTGGAAGAATACTGTCGAGTAATACTAACACCACGCCAATTTACATCAAGGACAGAAGGATGACGTCGATGTTATCTTATTTTATATTTTCCGGGCCCCCTATCTACTTGTTCATTCAGACAAATGTGTGAGTCCGGAAAATACAAAATAAGAGAATATTGAAGTCGTCGTGCCTAGATCTAACAATCATAGATCGTGCGGGAGGAGCAGATGCTAATCGATCTGTTTTATGCCACTGCCTGCTTTTTTCGCTCCGCGGTACAGGATCAATTTAGAAAATAGTTCTACTTACAGGATTCAATTCAATAACGGCGAAACGAAACAAGTAAAGCATGAACGCCTAAGATTTCACAGATAAAAAGATATAGAAAAAATGTACATATTCACTTGGTAGTATCGAAAAAATTATGTATTTTCATTTTCATAGTTTAAATTGTATGTATATTGCATTAAATTAGTTTTTAATTATTTATTTTGTAATCTTTCATTATTATAACTTGCTTAAATATCCATGTATAATCAAATCTGTTCATTTTGTAATTTTATTATATTGGTTTATTTTCTTATATAATTACTATATTAGATCTTCATGTGTTATTATTTATGGATTATTTTTAATTATTAAACATTAACTTCAAGAAGTTTATATTGATTTGATTTATTTAAATATATGATATAATTTTATTTATCATGACTCATCTCATATAAAAGTAGAAAAAATTGGCCGCAAGTAATGACAGCCTACTGTCCACAATTTTTGCCAAGAAAACCATCGACAGACAAACCAAATTAGAGACATCATCATATTGACACGTTGAATACACCTTTCACTGTGGCAACATGGAATGTTAGAAAGTCGTACAAGACTGGGAAATTTAAGAACGTAAAGTAAGAAATGAACAAAATGAATCTCAGCATTCTAGATTTGAGCGAAACTCAATGGAAGAAATCAGGTGTCATTACCTTTGAAGAAAGCAAATTTATCTACTCTGAAGGTGATTCAGACAAACGAGGAGTAGGTGTACTTTTGAACAAAGAAATTTCTAAACATTTAGAAGGTTTCTGGGCAATGTCAGATAGAGCTTTGTTGGTCAAAATACACGCAAAACCTTTCAACCTAGCTGTTATTCGAGTTTATGCGCCAACGTCTGAAAGCAGTGAAAAAAACCTTGATGCTTTTTACAGTATCTTGATGATGTTTAAAAGACATATAAATCTCAGGAAGGTTATTAGGATGGGTGACCTGAATGCAAAAAAGTAATGATCAGAAAAAATAAATAACGTGTTTGGTCTTCATGGGATAGGTAAAAAAATGAAAGAGGAAAAAACTTGATTGAATGGTGTTTCGGAAATGTCCAAATTATTACGAACACCTGGTTTGACAATCACCGAAAGCAAAAATACGCTTGGAAGAGTCCCGTAAACAAGGTAAGAAATATGATTTAATACATTACTATAATAAAGCGACTTCAAAATGCTGTTTTACAATGCAAAAGTTATCCTGGAGCTAACTATGGCAGTGATCATAACCCAGTTGTTTGTAAAATCAGGATAAAATTTAAAAAATCAAATGTGAGTTGGCCTCAAAACGTTTGAATTTTGTCAGTCTATCACAAAATGATGAGATCAAGGTCAAATGTAACGTTGAAGTACGGAACCGTTTTCAGTTATTGACGGTAAACGTACATAAATCTAAATGTGAGATATTTAGAGATGCCCTCACAGAGTCAGCTAGAAAAGTTAAACTTGTGAAGGGGCAAAGAAGAGGTCAGAAATGAATAACAGATGACATCGTATCTCTGATGAATGAACGAAGGAAATGAAAGGCTGCAATCCTGATAGTTATAAAAGGCTGGACAAAACAATCAAAAGGCAAGATGCAAAAAAGAAACGATTAAATGACATGTACGAAATCATTGACAAGATCAAAAATAGTAATACAAGTGCAATGTATAAAAACATCAAAGAAATCACTGGAAAAAGGGCTTGTACCGTTTCTAGATGCATAAAAGCTAAATCCGGTAAAGTAATTTTAGAGAAAGAAAAAATACTTGAAAGATGGACTGAATACATAATTGATCTTTTCGATGATATCCATGGTGAAAAGCCTTCTATTAAAAAAGACTTAGATCTGAAGTTCGTGCCGCTATTTCCAAAATGAAATTAAATAAAGCATCAGGCCCAGATGAGATGGTTGTTGAAATTAAATGCCTTGATGATTTTGGCATTGGAAGAGTGACAGAAATTTTGAATGAGACATAACAGTGGCGAAATTCCTGAAGATCTGCCCAAGTCAATATTTATTGCATTGATTAAAAAACTTAAAGCAGTATGTAAACTACATCGAACAATCAACTTGATGAGTCATCTTACAAAACTTCTCAGTACGAAGCAAAATTAGATCTGAAATTTTAACTGTCCAATGTGGTTTTGTCTTGGATTGTGGCTAATCTTTAGGCTAAGAATTATCAATGAAAGAGCGATTGAAATGAAGAAAGACTTGTTTATACGTTTTGTCTATTACTTCAAAGCTTTTGATAGCGTGAAAAAAGTGGAGCTTATGGAAATATTGGAAAATTTAGGCATTGATAGAAAAGAGACGAGAGGAGTTATTAAAAACTTCTATTGGGACTTAAGAGCAGCGATGAAAGTTGGTAACAAAGATGACAAGTTTTGTCGAAGTAAAAAAAGTTGTTAGGCAAGGCTGAGTATTCTCACAAGACTTGTCAAATCTCTATAGTGAGATCATTATGAAAAAGATAGAAGATCTACAATTAATATCCATTGGAGGCGTAAATATAAACAATGTAAGATATGCTGATGCTATAGCTCTTATAGCGAAATCAATAAAAAAACTGCATACAATTGTTTCCAAACTGGTGTTTGATAGTAGAAAAGGCTTGCAAATTAACATCAACAAAACAGAGTGCATGGTTATCAGTAAAAGCTAAACCACCCCGATCTGCCCTATAATCATCAATGGTAAACAGGTGAAACAAATCGGCAGCTTCAATTATCTTGGAAGTCTGATTACCTTAGGTTGTAAATGTGATGTGGGCGTCAAACGAAGAATAGCTATGGCAAAAGATGAGTATTTTAAAATGAAAAACATCCTCGCCGACTGTAAAATCAGAATATCAAAAAAATTAAAACCATTATAGTGTTACATTTTTCCTGTGCTCACTTACGGCTCTGAGTCTTGGACAATTTCTAAAGAAACCAGCTTGGCCATGAGACCAGAAAAAACACAAAATATGCGTAAATATTAGGCAAATGCATGAAATAAATCAATTAAAAAGTAATCAAAATGAATAAATCTTTAAAAAATTAGTAAATATTTATTAATAAATTATAAAACCTAAAAAATATATAACTTGATGAGTTTGATAAATAATTATATATATTTATCTATATATAGTAACCATATATCTTGACTTAAAATATATGGACCAGACTCCATAAAGCGCACTGAAAATGTGCGCAAATGCGTTCGGGGGCCTGTATAGGTATTCTAAGTATACGGATGGATCTAATACTTTTTTAAAGATTGCCATCGTGTAATGTCTACGCCATATTTGTAGTTTCAAATAAGATAGAAAAAGAGATAGAAAAAAGAGATTAAATGAAGGTCAATCAGGGTATATCTGTCAATGATATCGGTCACAGATCGTTACGATTCTATATGACATCAAAAAAATGAAACTAAATATGCTGAAATATTGTCCAAATGCATGAAATGAAGCAATTACAAAATCGTCATTATCATCATTGGTTCAGTTGAGTTCGTCTCTCCGTGATACTATGGACAAGATCTACCTCAACTTTTTTTTTCATCATAATATATATTTGTTTTTGTATATTTTCCACCTCCTTTCAAATTCTATCGCAACTTCCGTGAATGGCATAGATGGAAATTCTGCTTTGATTCTTGGTCGTTCTTCATGTGCGAAATTTATATATGCCCTTTTTTGGATTTTTTAAAATTGCTTGATTTCTAGCTGGAGATTTATCAGATGTAACCGTCGCATACGATGCAGAAAAATATACGGTTCTCTCCATTTCATGTCTTTCTTTATCTTTGGCAGCCATTGTTTTATACTTTTCTTTATTTGAGCATATTTTCCATCTCTTACCCAATTATTTGGCTACTTCTGTAAAGCGCATATTCAGAAATTTCGCTTTAATTTTTGGTCTTTCTTCCAATGCAAAATAGACATATGGAAACAACGCCGTCTTTGGTTTGTTGGAATTTTTTGCATGTCTTTTTCGTTTTTTCGAGTTATCAGTTGATAAATTGTTGACTATCTCTTCTTGATTTATTTAGTCATCATCACAATGTTTTATTTCTTCATAGACCTTCTTTGACTAGTTGTGATCTTTTGATTCGTTTTCTCTCATTTTCTCACCATCGGACAGTGCATAGTTAACCATCTCTCCCTGATATCTTCTTGTATCCCTGGCTGCCATTTCCTCATACGTTTTCACATCTTCGGATGATAGATTTTCCCATTTTTCAGAAACATGCTTAGAAAACTCAGTACGACATGCAAAAAAACTTTTCTTTAATTTTTCTCTAATATTATTCATAAAAAAATGTGTAGTATGAAGTCAAGCTATTTGGTTTTGCAAAATTTGTTGTTATTTCCATATCTTCGGAACGTTTAACAAAATAGAGCAAATTATAATGGAAAAAAGTTTTGATATAACTGCGAGAAATTAGTCCACCGGGCAGATCAAGTTAACGAATTGCGATTGATTGGGAAACTACGCCTATATATATAGTACCAGTCTGTGTTTTCTAACAAAGGACCAAGACTGACTCTGGCATAATCATTTTGCCTCATAACAGCGGACTAAGAATGATTTGTTTCATTTCGATAATTGGAACGTAAACCATAATCAAAAATAGTTAAGTAATTAGATGTACTGACTTTGATAAGTTTATGTTATGGAAGTTGTCCCTATTTTGCAATTATTTTCCAAACAAATACATTTTCGTAATAATTTTTTTTAGTTTTTTATTTCATCGTCAACAGCATTAAATGTTGTTGGCAGGTAAACACGGGATAGACAGTTTAATATGAAATTGTACATTTGAACGTTTTAAAAATTAAGTTTAAAAAAGTTGGTTTTGTTTGGAATATTAAAATCAGACCGGCGCAAAATTAAATTCACAGTCACAACAATTAGCTGTCTAATTAATGATTTATATCTTTAAATTATAAAAACTATTTAAAAAATTATAACTAACTATTTGTAAAATCATTACTTTTAAAACTAGTACTATAAGTGAACATTATAGAAATACATAGATACTAAGATACTTAGGTACTTAAGATATATAGATACGTAAGATACATAGGTACTTATGATGTCTAGATACTTTAGATATAAAGTACTTAAGATACGTAGTACTTTAGATACGAACAGACGCATTCATTGTTTTAATTATTTTAAATTCGTAAGCTGTCAAGACTGTACAAATCTACCGTTTAGACTTTTTATATATTTTTGTGATAAGTACCCAACAAAGATGTCTAAGTTTAAAGAAAATGAAAATATAGTTAATATTTATATCAAAAAATAATTTGTTAGTTATTTTAGGAATAGTGTATAAATAAAATATAAGAATTTTTTACGACCAAAACTTTTCAGGCTAGTTATATTCAGCTTTTTACAAATTTGCTTATATTCACGAAATACTTTTAGTAAAAATGCATGCATTAAATATAGAAAAAGAAATTTATTCAAATTTATGTACACAAGAAATATACATAAAATTAAGACATCTAATTTCCAACTTTATCAATTTCTATTTAACGTCTGTAAAAGGAAATTATCCCCAGCTAATTTGCGCATGAACGTTTACTATTAATTTGTTTATATAATTATATAATATATATTATATAATTTGTATATACATATATGTAGAATAATATATATATATATATATATATACTTAATATATACTTAAAACACTTATACTTGCCCTCAAACGCACACTCGCACATTTCTATAGTCTGGTCTCACCTTTTAAGTTTCCATTCATTAAACTCACCAAATTTTACAATTTTTAAATTATTATAGTTAATAAATAAATATATATTAATATTTTAAAATTTTTATTTATTTTAATTATATTTTAATTAATTTATTTCATGCATTTGCATATTTGTGCGTATTTGGTATCTTTTTTCTGGTGTACGTGTAGGCGAACTGGTGTGACATCGTCCTGTTTAACACGCATCCGAAAAAAATATATATGATATATATATATTCTTAAAAACTATATATATATCTATATATATATATATATATCTGCAATAATTTCGATAAAATGTTTGTTATTAAAAATAAAGGTTCAATTTTAAACAGACTTTTTTTTTAAATTTACTAAGACAAATAGAAAAATTCGAATATAAGTTGATAAACACTAATAAATCGGTGGAATTTATGACATATTGTCAAGAATTCGGTCTTCTACCAACATATATATATATATGCTGGTAGAAGATACCTGCCATTGAGCTGCTAGCTGTTGGTCAATTGTTTTTTGCTGTTGATTTTTGGCGTTTTTTCGAGTCGTTTTTGAGTATTTTCGGTTAACTTTTGGACGGACTTTAGTTTCAGAGAATTCAATTTTTTGGTTAATATTGATATTATAAGGGTTTTTGTTAATTTTTTAAGTTGAACTAATTTTCATTTTTTTGTATATTTGTTTTAAGCTGCGTTGTACAATATTCAGGTTGTTGGTGATTGGACAATTGCTAGCATGCCGAATGCTAATGATAGAGTGTGCACTTGTTGTAAAAATGAAATTAAAAGAACTGAAAAAAAATTACAATGCAGTTCATGCAAATTTCATGTGCACACAAAGTGTGTAAACATATCTGATTCTTATTTACCTGTGTTTAAAATGAAACATGTGAAATTTCATTGCGATGGCTGTCTGGAAATTTTCGAAAATTTTGACAATGCTTTAGTAAATGTTGATAGACATTTTGTAAAATCTGCAGTTGAAATTATTACAGCTCATTTCTGAAGTAAATGAAATGAAACAATTGTTGAATAATTTTGGAAAAGATAGTGTGGCCGTCGGTCCTGAATTTGCTAAAGAAATGGATATAATGAAAACAGAGTTGAAGGTTAGCTTTGCTGATGTTGTTAAAGGTGAATTTAAAAATGAAATAAAATCCGTCAATACCGAGGTCATGAATGTAAGTAGAAAATTAGATGAGGAGAGTGAGCGGAAAAAGAGAGAAAATAATATATTAGTATTTGGTCTTAAGGAACAAGGTACAATAATTGAGGAAAAAAATGTTGTATTAAAAATATGTAAAGAATTGTCATGTGATTTAATTGAAAATACTAATGATTTCAAAATAAGTAGACTGGGAATAAAAGGTGAGTCACCACGGCCTATGTTGGTTGCTGTCAGAAATAGCAATACCAAAACTGCCATCATGAAAAATTTGTTCAAAATCAAATCATTTGATTCTGATTTGAATAAAATTATAATTAGACATGATTTGACACCCCAGCAAAGATTGTCGTTGAAAAAAATGATTGATAAGGCAAAGGAAAAACAGGCGAATGACCATGCGGGTTTTTATACAGGGTCAAGGGAGAGCTGGGGGAATGGAGAATAGTAAAATTCAAAAAGATGGAGTTAACTTAGAAGGTGTAAAATCATATAAATATAGTGTTGGGTTGGTTAATAATGGGGTTAAATTTGGGTTATTAAATATTAGGTCAATTATTACTAAATGGGGGATTGTTATCAATTATTAATGGAGGGTCTGGATATTTTTGTTATCGTTGAATCGTGGCATGGTTCCTCTGATTATATATCGGTGAAAATGTCAATGCCACCTGGATATATGTTTGTTGATTATTTAAGAGTAAATGATCCATACCATGGGGGGTTAATAATTTTTTTTCGAAATTGGTACAAATTTGAAAAAATAAATGTACCTGTTTTTTCATCATTTGAGGCACTTTGTCTTGCCTTGACAATTGATAAAGTTAAAATACTTTTTTTGGCGATGTATCGGCCTGGCTCTGTAATGATATCTTCATTATTTTTTGAGGAACTGTCTTCAATATTAGAATTTGTAACATCACCATGTGATAAAGTAATTTTATTGGGTGATCTCAATATACATGTTGAGAAAAGTGATTGTGGTCACACTATCCGCCTTAATAATTTGTTTGATCTGTTTCTAATGCGTAATGTCATAAATGAGCCTACGCATAATTTAGGAGGTATACTAGACCTCATCGTGTCTGGTTATCAAATGTCAGTTAATGATATCAAGATATATCCGAGTGGGGTACACTCGGATCATAGTTTGATAACGGCGTGTTTACCTATATCACATCCGCTTTCTCGTAAGATGAAAAAATCAGTGCGCTCTTGGAATCGAATTGATAAAAATAAATTGATTTCATTAATTCAAGAATCACCAATTGTTAAATTTTGTGATATTATTGATGCAAATGAAGCTGCTGAGCTATTTAATAATGAATTATTAAAAATTGCTGATGCTGTTGCACCGATTCATATGGTTAAAAAAAATTGTGGCGACTGCACCTTGGTATGATGGTGAGTGTCGTAAGATAGGGCGTGATTGTCGAAGGGCAAAAAGAAAATATAGATTACATTATAGAATGGGGGACAAAAAATTGTGGGTTGAATCATTAAGGTTAAAAAACAAATATTTCAGGGAGAAAAAAGAAAATTATTGGAAAAAATTGGTTGATGAAAATGCTAATGATCCTAAAAAGTTATGGAGAATTTTAAATAAAATTTTATGTAAAGAGTCATCAAATGATTGTACTATGACCCATACAGCTAACGATTTTGTTGAATTTTTCATTAAAAAAATTTAAGGGATAAAAAACAATATATCTGTAGCTGGAGAGCCTACTATAAAGTGTAGGTCTAATGTTGACATAAAATTTTGTGAATTTTCGCGGGTATGGCAGTCTGAAGTTAGAACCTTTGTAATTAGTTCTCCGTCAACCTCCTGTATGATTGATTGTATGCCTGTTAATATTTTTAAACAATATATAGATTATTTTTTGCCCTATTTTACGGAATTAATTAATTTGTGTCTGTCAACAGGCACATTTCCAGCTGTTTATAGGCATGCAATTATTATTCCTCTTCAGAAGCATGCGTCTTAAGACATGAATGAACTTAAAAGTTTTCGACCTGTCTCGAATTTAACTTTTATTTCGAAGGTTTTTGAAAGAATTGTTCATAAACAATTTCTAAAGTATTTAAATGATAATAACATTTTTCCGAATAATCAATCTGGTTTCAGACGCTTTCATTCGACGGAGACGGCCTTGTTACAGATATTGTCGGAACTTTTTGAGGCTTCTGATCGCAATCAGGTCTCTCTTCTAACTCTACTTGATATGAGTGCCGCATTTGACTGTTTGAATCATGATACACTGTTACGTCGATTATGTTTAAGTTGCGGTATCTGTGACTTAGCTTTGGAATTTTTCAAATCTTATTTGTGCAAACGTACCCAGCAAGTTTATTATAATAATTCTTGGTCAAATACAGTTGATGTTTTGTCTGGGGTTCCCCAGGGGTCTGTTTTAAGCCCGCTTCTTTTTACATTATATACAGCCGATATTATGTATCTCATTGATGAATTTTCTTTAAAGGGTTTTGCTTATGCAGATGATGTTCAGATAATTGCAAGTGCGGCGACTGGGGAGATTGATTTTCGGATTGAAAGAATGTTGGATTGTTTGGGTGCACTGGATGGGTGGATGGGTTTGAATGGTATAAAATTGAATCGGGAAAAAACTCAGCTGGTACCAGTTGGAACTTGGCAGCAAACCTCTAGGATTAACGTTGATTTTGTGAAAATAAGTGACATGATTATTGATTTTGGAAAAATGGCTACAGTGTTGGGTTTTAAAATAGATAAAAATCTATGTATGGGTGAACATATAAAGGTTTTGGTAAAATCTTGTTCATTTCAATTGCAGCAATTGTATCGAATTAAAAAGAGTTTGAACAGATCAACCATGGTTACTCTGATTCATTCGTTCATACATTCTAGATTGGACTATTGTAATAGTTTGTTTTATGGTGTTTCGAAACATGAGATTGCTAAGTTGCAGATGGTTCAGAATAGAGCTGCAAGAATTGTTGTTGGTGCTAGTTGTTCATATTAGCCCAATGAACATATTAGCCCAATTCTGTCGGAATTGCATTGGTTGCCGGTCAGCAAAAGAATTGTTTTTAAAGTCTGCGTTTTGGTTTATAGATGCTTAAACGGATTGGCTCCGCAATATCTGTCCGAAATGTTGATTGACAGATCATCGATTTCTTTAAAAACTGGCCTACGATCAGATCGGGGAAATTTGTTAGTGGTCCCGGTTACTAAATTAAAAATTGCATCACGTAGTTTTGCAGTTTATGGACCAAGGCATTGGAATGAACTTCCATATTTTTTGCGCCGGTCTGGTCTGACATTTCCCCAGTTCAAGAGTCAATTGAAGACATATCTTTTTTCCTTGTAGAAAATTGCCGTAGTTGTAAAGCGCCTATGAGAATGTTTTTAATAGGCGCTATATAAATGATCATATAATAATATATATATATATATATATATATATATACATATATATATATATATATATATATATATACAATATTCTATAAATTCTACCGAATGTTTGGCGTTAATATGTTTGTAGTTCGTTTTTTTTTACAAACATATTAACGCCAAACATTTGGTAGAATTTATAGAATATTGTACAAATTATGGTCTATTACCAACACACACACACACACACACACACACACACACAC